CCCAGGCATCCCAAATACATGTGGTCTGATCTTGATTACAGGGACTGCAAAACAGAATTGACTACCTTTAAATAAATCGATCAACTATTCTACTCAAACTATGCATATGATTAAATAAATGCACACGTAGAGGTTAACTTAAGTAAAAACTGCAAGTCAAGACAATTAGGAGATCCAGTAAAACAAGGAGCTGCATAAGCTGATCTTCACTTCTCTGACCTTTTCTGGTGACTGAGAGTACTTATCACATGAAAGGATAACTGTACCTGTAAACCACATTGTTGTTTTTATTATACCAAAGGATACCAAGTATCTTTGCATTCCCAACATAGGGGTGATTTACTAAAACTAGTGCACTCGGAATCTGGTGCAGCTGTGCATGGTAGCGAATCAGTTTCTAACTTCAGCTTGTTCAAGTGGAAGTAAAAGCAAAACCTAACTAACTTAGTCACATTCTAAGTCTAATCTATCTAGCCCTGTAAAGAAAAAAATCGCTATATCTATCTATTCAGTGGTCACTCCAGTTTAACCACCTCCCATCCAGCCATTGTATATAAACGGCCGGACAGTGCCAGTGCAGGGTCAGGTGGCCGTTTATAAACGGCCTCCCTGCCCCCTGCTTGTGCGCGCTCCCTGGGAGCGCGCGCGCACCGCGATCCGGTGCCCGCTGTTTCCTCCGGACACAGTGGAACACTGATCGTCGTACAGGACCTCTGTGCGAGGTCCCGATCATGTGATCACTGATTGGCCAATCAGTGATCACATGCAGAGTAGCAAGCAAGATGTCACTTCTGACATCATTGCTTACTACGTGTGAAATTTGTGAATGATCACAGAGGTCACATGGTACAGGGATATTCACAACATCCTTGTACTATGTGACAAGCTGTGATGAATCACAGCTCACACAGTAGTTCTCAATGGCTGCAAGAATGCAGTCAGAGAGAAGGAGAAATGATTGCTTTTACAGCCTTTATGGGTGTAAAAGCAATCAATTTGAAAAAAAAAAAAAAAATCTTCATCACCCCCTACAAGTAGTACAGTGTCACCATGGTGACACTGTACTTCTAGGGTGACAGTATGTACAAAAAAAAAAAATAATAATATAAAGAAATAAAATAAAAATGTAAAAAAAAAGTTTTAAAAATTTTTTAGTTATAAACTAATTTGGGTTTATTTTTTTTTACTAAAAAGATAACAGAATAAATTTTGGCCAAGATGTATGATGAAATATTTATTTGCAAAATTTTATAAGAAAAACACTTTTTTTCAAAATTTTGGAATTTTTCATTTACATAGCAAAAAAAAAACAAAAATCCCAGTGGTGAATAATTACCACCAAAATAAAGCTTTATCTGTCTCAAAAAATGCTAAAAAATTCATATGAGTAAAGTGTTGCATGACCGCGCAATTGTCATTCAAAGTGTGATAGCACTGAAAGCTGAAAATTGGCCTGGACAAGAGGGGGGTAAAAGTGTCCGGACTGGAAGTGGTTAAGCAGGCTTGGAATGTGGCTGAGAGTAGGTTTAGAGTTTGTAAGGTTTTGCCTTTAAGTTTTGCCAATAAAACCTGGAAGCTGATTGGTTTCTATGCAGAGTTGCAATAAATTGCACTCTCCAGTTTTAGTAATTAAACCCTCATAACCGATTTTGTCTGCCTTTTTCTTCCCTGTGTTTTGAGAGCTGCCTTCACAGGCCCAGCACGGTGTACGTGTTGCTCTGTTTTTTTTAACTTTCAGCATGTCTGCACCGGCTTTGTGACTTAGAAGGAATGAGCACAAAGGAGATGGTTATATTTAAGGTCATGCCGTACAACACTGTACCAAAGTGATGCTCCTGTTGGCACTGAAGTTCATAGGATCCAACAATTAATTTTCTAGCTGATATTTCCAAGCTAATTAAAATTGCTTTTGCAGTTTTCCAGTGATAATTGAGATACTCTGAATGGTTATCTGATGTTATAATCCTTACAACCAAAAGTGCAACACCTTGTCTCCTGCAATACTGGATGCTGTACCCAATTCACTTCTACTGTAAGCTGCTTGCTCAATTGCCGAAACCACCCAATCTCTACCATCTTCATCTGCCACGGTCTGTTTTGCCCATATGAATAGTCCAGTAAGGATATGAGATGGCTCATGTCCAAGTCCATTTATCATACACCTGAAGATCACCGCTCCTCAAAAACCAAAACAAATCTATGGTTGTGGTAATACTAAAATCTTCCTGTCCGGCAGAGGCAATCCAAACTGTCAGGTCATGTGTTCAATGCAACCAGTACTGAAAGGCTACTACTGTTTTCCTCTTTCTGAAAATTATATTTGCTTAGCTGTCTTTTACTTTCTAGATACAATCTTGTAGATATACAGTGGGGATCGAAAGTTTGGGCACCCCAGCTAAAAATCTGTATTAATGTGCATAAAGAAGCCAAGGAAAGATGGAAAAAAATCTCCAAAAGGCATCAAATTACAGATTAGACATTCTTATAATATGTCAACAAAAGTTAGATTTTATTTCCATCATTTACACTTTCAAAATAACAGAAAACAAAAAAATGGCGTCTGCAAAAGTTTGGGCACCCTGCAGAATTTATAGCATGCACTGCCCCCTTTGCAAAGCTGAGACCTGCCAGTGTCATGGATTGTTCTCAATCATTGTCTGGGAAGACCAAGTGATGTCAATCTCAAAGGTTTTAAATGCCCAGACTCATCTGACCTTGCCCCAACAATCAGCACCATGGGTTCTTCTAAGCAGTTGTCTAGAAAACTGAAACTGAAAATAGCTGACGCTCACAAAGCTGGAGAAGGCTAGAAGAAGATAGCAAAGCATTTTCAGATGTCAATATCCTCTGTTCGGAATGTAATTAAGAAATGGCAGTCATCAGGAACAGTGGAAGTTAAAGCAAGATCCTGGAAGACCAAGGAAAATATCAGACAGAACAGCTAGCAGGATTGTGAGAAAAACAATTCAAAACCCATGTTTGACTGCATGATCCCTCCAGAAAGATCTGGCAGACACTGGAGTTGTGGTACACTATTCCACTATAAAGAGATACTTGTACAAATATGGTCTTCATGGAAGAGTCATCAGAAGAAAACCTCTTCTACGTCTCACCACAACAATCATCGTTTGAACTTTGCAAATGAACATATAGACAAGCCTGATGCATTTTGGAAACAAGTTCTGTGGACCGATGAGGTTAAAATTGAACTTTTTGGCCGGAATGAGCAAAGGTACGTTTGGAGAAGAAGGGGCACAGAATTTAATGAAAAGAACCTCTGTCCAACTGTTAAGCATGGGGTTGGATCAATCATGCTTTGGGGTTGTGTTGCAGCCAGTGGCACAGGGAACATCTCACGAGTAGAAGGAAAAATGGATTCAATAAAATTTCAGCAAATTTTAGATGGTAACTTGATGCCATCTGTGAAAAAGCTGAAGTTAAAGAGAGGATGGCTTCTACAAATGGATAATGATCCTAAACACACCTCAAAATCCATGGGGGATTACATCAAGAGGCATAAACTGAAGGTTTTGCCATGGCCTTCACAATCTCCTGACCTCAACATAATTGAAAATCTATGGATAGACCTTAAAAGAGCAGTGCGTGACAGACAGCCCAGAAATCTCAAAGAACTGGAAGACTTTTGTAAGGAAGAATGGGCAAAGATACCTCAAACAAGAATTGAAAGACTCTTGGCTGGCTACAAAAAGCGTTTACAAGCTGTGATACTTGCCAAAGGGGGCAGTACAAGATATTAACTCTGCAGGGTGCCCAAACTTTTGCAGACGCCATTTTTTTTGTTTTCTGTTATTTTGAAAGTGTAAATGATGGAAATAAAATCTAACTTTTGTTGACATATTATAAGAATGTCTAATCTGTAATTTGATGCCTTTTGGAGATTTTTCCATCTTTCCTTGGCTTCTTTATGCACATTAATACAAATTTTTAGCTGCGGTGCCCAAACTTTCGATCCCCATTGTGTAGATAACTATCAAAAAGCTTAAAGTGTATTTAAACTCAAAACCAAAAATATAATATATTGCTGTTTTACATTTCTTAGATGGGGTGGTTGCAATAGTTTTGTTTATTCATTTTTTCCTTTATTTTCACCTGGTAATCCTGCAAGCAACACACTTCCCCATCCTAGGCTGACAACACTCGCTGCACTGTATCTATTGAGGAGCAGACTTGTTACCCTAGGCTGCTCTCCTGGTTTGGACTAAAAATACCTCCTCCTCACTGTTTCATAGGACGAAGGTGTTCTGTATTTCACATAAGATAGCTGGGAAAGCTATTTCTGTACTTGCAGAAAATATTCCTAGCCTGAAGAAGAAAACAAATGCAGCTGCCAACTTCTAAGGTAGTGTTTCTCAACCTTTTTTCAGGGAAGGAACCCTTTAAAATTCTTCACAATCTCAAGGCACCCTTTGGAGTTTGGCATTATCTTGAGGCACCCATTACAAAATGTAAAAAACTAAGCAAATAGTTTTACAGAGCGCAGCAACATCTGCACATGTAGGACTCCCAATGTTAGAGGTGATTTATTCTTTCAAAGCAAATACACTTTTGCACACTGGTACTGACTAGTATTCCATTGTTTCTCTTCTCCTTCAGTTTCTCTCTCTCTTACTCCGCTAGTGTGACCCCAGTGCTTATGGAGAGAGTCAAGCAAGGATGCTGTGCAGGTGCCCAATATCCTTCTTATCAATTGGTGACATCATTGGTTTTTATGTCGCCAGCGGCTAGAAAGTTGTAATGTTGCACAATGAAAACCTGTGGTTTTGTGTAACTAAAAGCCAGGCTTGATCCACCAGCTGGCTTGTATACACTTTTTGGGCAAGTTTCAGGTATTTTGTCAAGGCACCTATGAAAAGATCTGCAGGCACCCCAGGGAGTCTGGACACCCTGGTCAAAAAAGGCCGATCTAAGGAATGGTACACTTCAACATATTGGAACTTTTTGTTCTTTAGTTTAGACATAATTTACTTTCTATGACACTTACTTTTGAATGTCTTGGACTTCAGTGTGGCCTTCCTCTCTTCTTCACCGTACTGACGAAACCAATCATCTCCATAACCATTGCTAAGCAACTTGCTAATATTAACAGCATCATTTCTATTTCCTGGCCTTTAGCATAAAAAAGAAAATAGCAGGAAGGAAAAGAAAAAAAAAAAATAAACAAATTTTTAAAGTCTAAAAATAACATTTGAATCTTAATTTCCAATTTTTTATATTGAGCCACAACTTATACAAATATATAAAAATAGTGATCTATGAGTGTTGTGTTTGTACACAAAGTATGCTCTGAGTGTTGAAAAAAGTGAAACGGAATTTTAAAAAAAATCAAGATTCCCTATCTTATAGGGAACATCTTGAAATAGTAATAGTGCCCAATAAATACCCTGACATTCAATTTATCTAGAATTTACTTTCTGACATGCAATTGTGTCTACAAGCTCACAGCTATACATCTACAGTGTGTGATCACCTAAGGCGCTGTTGTCTGCCTGGTTTCACGAGATTTAAGATCAGATTTGGTGATGTCACTATGTTGCTGCAAATCCAGGTTGAATGTTTGTTTACAAACAAACCTCACCAGCCTGCTGATGGCAATTTTCTGTGTATTCACTGTGCCAGTGGTACAATGTTAAGCTTGAAAAATATGAATTCATTTAAAATGTTGTGTAAAACAACTTAAAATGCATTTTTCCACATTTTTCAGCTTTTATCAAAATGTTTGGTTGTTGACTTCTTTATATGTGTGTAAGATACATTATTATTTTATTACAATTTACTTGTCATAAAGTGAGACCTACACTATATTACCAAAAGTATTTGGACACCCCTCTAAGACATTGGATTCAGATGTTGCAATCACCTCCATGGCCACAGGTGTATAAAATCAAGCACCTAGGCATGCAGGCTGCTTCTACAAACATTTGTGAAGGAATGGGTCGCTCCCCTAGGAGCTCAGTGAATTCAAGCGTGGTACCATGATAGGTTGCCACCTGTGCAATAAGTCCATCCGTGAAATTTCCTGGCTACTAAACATTCCACGGTCAACTGTTAGTGGTATTATAACTTGGTGGAAGCAACTGGGAACAACAGAAACTCTGCCTTGAAGTGGTAAGCCACGTAAAATGACAGAGCGGGGTCAGCGCATGCTGAAGCACACAGTGTACAGAAGAATTCGCCAACTGTCTGCAGAGTCAATAGCTAAAGACCTCCAAACTTCATGTGGCCTTCAGATTAGCATGACAACAATGCATAGAGAACTTCATGGAATGGGTTTTCAAGGCTGAGCAGCTCTATCCAAGCCTTACATCACCAAGTGCATTGCAGTGGAGCACTGGAGACGTGTTTTCTGGTGTGATGAATCACGCTTCTCTATCTGGCAATCTGATGGACACGTCTGGGTTTGGCTGTTGCCAGGAGAACGGTACTTACCTGACAGCATTGTGCCAAGCGCAAAGTTTTGGGTGGGGGGGGATTATGGTGTGGGGTTGTTTTTCAGGGGTTGGGCTTGGCCCCTTAGTTCCAGTGAAGGGAACTCTTAAGGCATCAGCATATAAGACATTATGAACAATTTCATGCTCCCTCCTTTGTGGGAACAGTTTGGGGATGGACTCTTCCTGTTCCACCATGACTGCACACCAGTGCACAAAGCAAGGTCCATAAAGACCTGGATGAGCGGGTTTGGGGTGGAGGAACTCGACGGGCCTGCACAGAGTCCTGAACTCAACCCAACAGAACACCTTTGGGATGAATTAGAGTGGGCCTCCTTGTCCGACATCAGTGCCCGACCTCACAAATGCGCTTCTGAAAAAATGGTCAAATATTCCCATAGACACACTTTTAAACCCTATGGACAGCCTTCCCAGAGGAGCTGAAGCTGTTATAGCTGCAAAAGTTGGACCAACTCAATATTAAACCCTATGGACTAAGACTGGGATGCCATTAAAGTTCATGTGTGTGTAAAGGCCGGCATCCCAATACTTTCTGCAATATAGTGTATGTAATGGCATACTCAAATAGTAACAGAACTGATGAAGACAAGGGTCTTTGGGTTCCATTCACGAAGCGGTATCCACCGCTTCAAGAAATGCGGTAAAATACCACTTGTATTTTTGAAAAGTGTTGGCTTTCACAAAAAAACCCTTCTAAAATACTACATGTGGTATTTTTCCAAAATATGCCGTATTTATCTCACAAAACTATGCAAAAAAATGTAACTGGAATACCAGTCAAAAGGAAGCTGCTTTCACAGGACACACGTGGTATATCAAAAACAACGAAGTTAAATTAGTTAAATACAAAATATCTTTATAAATGTCAAATATTGAACGAAAATCGTATAAAAAAAAAAAAAAAAAATCACACACATTTATAAATACCATTCTTTTGCAATCTTGTCTTTTTATTGGTGGAAGACAGGTATTTGTATATGTGTGTGATTTTTTTTTTTTATACTATTTTCATTCAAATATTTGACAATTAGAAAGATATTATGTATTTACTTAAAGTATAACTAAAGGAATAACTTTTTTGTTTTGGATAGGGTGGAGAGGTATTAGAACACCTACTGTGTGGTGGTGCTGTCTCTCAACATTAAGGAGATTCACCCTCTTTGTTTGTTCTCTTTACCATTAACATTGAAAGTGAAATTAAAACAAGATCCCAAACTTTGGGTTTTCCCCAAAAAAGTAATAGTGGGGAGGTTTTCCCCCAATGGGGACACTAGATCTGGTGACCTGGAGGAACCTAAAGGATTCCCTTAATTTGCAGGGATTTCCTTTCACTTCCTGTTTTGACTATGGGACAGGAAGTAAAAGGTAAATCTCCCCAATGGGACACGGGTGGCAAAAAAAAAACCTGCCATGGTTCTAACCCTCTATTACAGTGGTGGGCAACCTTTTTTTTTCAACTGAACCAAATCTCGCCAAAACCACGATTGAAATTTATTTTGAGAGCCACATTTTTAAAACTGAAAATACATCCCCATATAGTAATTCATCCCCCATAGTAATTCATCCCCCATATAGTAATTCATCCCCCATAGTAATTCATCCCCCATATAGTAATTCATCCCCCATATAGTAATTCATCCCCCATAGTAATTCATCCCCCATATAGTAGTTCATCCCCCATAGTAATTCATCCCCCATATAGTAATTCATCCCCCATAGTAATTCATCCCCCATATAGTAATTCATCCCCCATAGTAATTCATCCCCCATATAGTAATTCATCCCCCATAGTAATTCATCCCCCATATAGTAATTCATCCCCCATAGTAATTCATCCCCCCTATAGTAATTCATCCCCCCTATAGTAATTCATCCCCCATATAGTAATTCATCCCCCATATAGTAATTCATCCCCCATATAGTAATTCATCCCCCATATAGTAATTCATCCCCCATAGTAATTAATCCCCCATAGTAATTAATCCCCCATAGTAATTCATCCCCCATATAGTAATTCATCCCCCATAGTAATTCATCCCCCATAGTAATTCATCCCCCATATAGTAATTCATCCCCCATAGTAATTAATCCCCCCATATAGTAATTAATCCCCCATATAGTAATTCATCCCCCATATAGTAATTCATTCCCCATATTGTGTCAATTCACTTACCTTGCTCCGCACGTTCCTCTCGCTGTGTTCCCGCGCCGTTCCGGTCTTCAGGGCGGACTGTGAAAGGAGAGGAGTTCGTCACGCTGCCCCGCCTACATCCTCACAGCCAATGTTTGCCACGCTCCGTGGGCCGGATTAAAAGGTCCGCCGGGCCGTAGTTTGCCCATTGCTGGGCTAGCTGCAGAGTCCTGACTTTTGGGGCGGCCGCCCGAGAGGAGGGAGGGGAGCGGGCACCCGGCACACAGGAGAGCCGCATTAAATTGTGTAAAGAGCCGCATGTGGCTCGCGAGCCGCGGCTTGCCGACCACTGCTCTATTACATATAAAATGAAAAAGAAAGTGTTGCCTTTAGTTACACTTTCAAGCAGCCTTTCCTAACATTTTCAACACAGAGGGTCCCTTGAAATACATTTCTTGTCTCAGGAAACCCTACTTAAAATTACATTAGTGCGATGGTCATTGGGAAGAATGCTCCTTACACTTGTGCTCAATGGAGCCAGCAATGGGGTTGGCAACAGGTAAGATAGCTAGGGACAAGCGCTTCATTTTTAAATTGTAAAAATGATTACAGAATAACTCCAAGCACATATGAAATGCACAACATAACGCAGCATATTATTCATTTTGAAATCATTACATATTTAAATGCTGTTAGCGTAAGTATCTGAATTTGATTTGGAGTTAGCTTCTTGCAATCCCCTGTACAACAACACTTAGACTGATAGAGGGAAAAGCAAGATTTGGACCCAATCAGGTGTGCTACATGCAAATGTTTTGAAAAGGAACATGATCATAGTAGGAGAGAGCAGAGTGAGCAGAGATATGATCTCATTATCATTAGTCTGCTGTTGCTCTTTTTCTGTCCAATCAGTAGGCAGTGATGGAGAGAAGATACCACTGTATTCCTTAACTTTTAAGTTATATCATCCACCTGGCCATGCTGTGTCAGGCAGTTGTGGATCTCAGACATAGATGGACAGAAACATAAATCCTTTGGCAGGCAAAACAGTTTCCTTTAATGTTTTATTTTTTTATCATGAAAAAAAAAAGGTTTGACAAGTATGTAGCTATACCACAAGAATGTATATTTGACTCACAATCATAAAGTTTCTCACATTTTAGAATACTGTACATGAATATATATATACAGGGGCGGACTGACAACTCATGGGGACCCCGGGCAATAGGGGATCGTGGGGCCCCTGTGTCCTCGCCCGCACTCAAATCACACCCAAAAAAGCCTATGAAAGGTACCAGGGACATCTCATGGGGCCCCTTACTGACACCGGGCCCTCGGGCAGTGCCCGAGTTAACCAATGGTCAATCCGCCCCTGTATATATATTGAGAGGCACCGTCTAGCAGGACTGTGGATGGTGTTTCACCACACATGGTGAGAGGCTCCATGGTTTATGACTGATATGGAGAAAACAAACTTTGTCCTGTTTTTGGTCCTGGAGCTTTGAGGCTTTGTAAAGCTTGGGTGGGAACGAGCTTCCATTCCTAGCTCCTTATCTTACCTGGTGGTCAGACTTCATTAATAAATTTGCTCAGTGGGTGGCCCTGCTGAATCCGCACTGTTAGATATTTCTACTGACTTGTTGAAGGAGCTTTCTGGAAGATTGCCAAACAGCACCCTCCCCCCCCCCCCCCCCCAGATGGTAGCACCACTTCCCCTGCTGCTAATGAAAAAAAAAAGTTGTGGAGTCACTGGGCGGCCCCCATTACATCATAGGGGTGGGGTCACCTGGTGATGTCACTGGGTGGCTCTGCCCCTATGAGAACACATGCCGCCCCTGAGACCTCGCTTCCTATGATGCCAAAGAGCAGGGTTTTTGGGGGTGGCATGTGTTATTCATAGGGGGTGGAGGGCTGAGTGACATCAGGGGGCAGGGTTACTCCCTGATGACACAGGGTGACCCTGCCCCTTTGTTTAGCTAGCATCGGGGGGAAGTGGCGCTGTCATTTGGCAAGTGACAAATGACAGAATTAATCATGTTCGGAGGGTGTTTTTTTTTTTTCATGCACGTTGGTAGCTGGTGGTCATCATGATTGATGGTTTTTGTAAATAAAAGACTTGTCACAAACTGGGCACAAGTCACTAAAGCTTATTGCATGAGTTAAGTCAGTCACATGACCACATATCGCATGCGATACTGAAAATGTCAATTCACTATTGCTAGTAAGCGGTATTCACCAAAAATAGCAAAAACACTCCGTAAATACTGCATAAAAAGACCTTAAGGTCAATTCAAAATACAAAGAAAATAAATAATTAAATGCATGCAAGTGATTAAGTAGTGGTACAGGCATGCGGTATGTACTGGTATCTGTCAGTACTGTCGTGGGTTGTTAAGGAATGGGTGGCCGCCGAGTCCCTAACAACCTATGAGTCATCAGCTGTCAGCGGGGTTCCCCACTGACAGCTGAATGTAAAAAAAAAAATTGCTGGCAATTAAAAGTTATTTTAAAAATGATGTGGGGTCCCCCCCTCCATCCATACCAAGCCCTTTGGGTCAAAAAGGGGGGGGGGGCAGCAAGCATACCATACCAGGCCACATGCACTCAACATGTGGGGGTGCTTTGGGGCAAGGGGGCTCCCCCCAAAGCACCTTCTCTACATATTGATGGGGACAAATGCCTCTTCCCATAAACCTGGGGGGCGGGGGGCTTGTCGGAATCTGGAAACCCCCTTTAGCCCCCAAATACCCCCCATGTGAATGAGTATGGGGTACATGGTACTGCTACCCATTCACAAAAAAAAACCTGTAGTGTGAAAAAAGACAGGAGACATTCTTTGACAAGTCCTTTATTAAAATAAGGAAAATAAAAGAATGTCCCCTGAAGTAGATCCAATGTCAATCACGATGCCCGCCACCGCTACACGAAAAAAAAAAAGGCTCTGCTCCCACGGTACCATGTACCCCATACTCATTCACATGGGGGGGGTCGGGATCTGGGGGCCCCCTTGTTAAAGGGGGCTTCCAGATTCAGAAAAGTCCCCCACCGCAGCAGACCCCCACAACCATTGGCCAGGGTTGTGGGGAAGAAGCCCTTCTCCCCATCAACATGGGGGCAAGGTGCTTCAGGGGGGGAACCCCCTGCCCCATAGCACCCCCCGTGTTGAGGGCATGTAGTCTGGTATTGTTTAGGGGGGGCACTCGCTTGTCCCCCCCTTTCCTGACCTGCTGGGCTGCATGCTCGGATAAGGGTCTGGTATGAATTTTAGGGGGACCCCCAAGCCATTTTTTTTCCATTTTGGCATGGGGGTTCCACTCAATCCATACCAGACCCCAAGGGCTTGGTATGGATGGGGGGGGGGGACCCCATGCCAATTTTTAAAAATTTTTTCAATTGCCAGCAATTCTTTCTTTTACATTCAGCTGCCAGTGGGGAACCCAGTTGACAGCTGAAACTAACGCATGTTTTTCACTACTAAAATAATGCGTGACTTGATAAAATAACTCATGCTGTATTTTAGTAGTGCTTTTTAGAGAATCGAAAAGTTTTTTTTTTTAAAATTGCTGTACGGTATCCTACCGCATACTCATACGGATGCGGTAAGATACCACTTAGTGAATCGTGTCCACTGTCTTGTGTTTTTATTTATGGAGGAGGCAGGACATGGGGCCTCCCTTCTTAAAGGGGGCTTTCAGATTCTGATAAGCTACTCCACAACCACCCATCACGACCTCATAAACACGTGGACAAGGTGCTTTGCCACAGCTCCCCCCTGGCAAAATGCCTATGTTGAGGGCATGTGGCCTGCTATGGTTCAAGAGGGTGGGGGGGACTTGTTTGTTCCCCCTTGCCTGGCCTGCCAGACTATGTTTGGATAAGGGTCTGATATGGATTTTGCCAGGACCTCATGCCATTTTTTGTGGTGTGGGGGTTCCCCTTAAAATCCATACCAGACCGAAGGGCTTTGGGTGGATTTTGGTGGTGACCCCATGCATTGTTTTTAAAGTGCGGTCCCCCTTAATACCCCTGTGCTGTGCAGATATTGTGTGACATAAAAATATGCAACACCCACTATTTTATTCTCTAAGGTTCCTGCTTAAAATAATATATGTTTGGGGGTTCTAAATAGTATTTTTGCAAAAAAAAAATATTTTTTACATGTAGGAGAGGAATGTCAGAATTGGCCCAGACTGGAAGTGGTTAATACCAACATGAGTCCATTTCCACCTCTAGTTAGGGCTCATTCACACTCATGTTAAAAAGTGCAAGCTAGTGTCTGTTGTGTAGGGGTGGTGCCATGCGTTATTGCAGAAAGTATAGCTTAGCAAACAGGAAAGACACACAAAGATGCATGATCAGTACCTAGTCCTCACACATGGCCCATTTCAGTCCCTATTTCCTTACATATTTTAACTAATAATAAAGAAGGTTAAGGAATTGTTCCACACAAAAGAAAGAATTACTTTTTTTACCACAATAATGTGTGTTAATTCCATTTTTTTTCTAAACACATAAAACAAAGGGAAATATACTGGGGAAATTCCAAATATACAGTGCATCATCCAGAAAGTATTCACAGCGCTTAACTTTTGCCACATTTTGATATGTTATACCCTTATTGCAAAATGGATTAAATTCATTTTTTCCTTAACATTCTACAAACAATACCCCATAATGACAACGTGAAAGAAGTTCACTTTGAAATCTTTGTAACCAAGCACCCGATGGTCATTCTCAAAGAGCTCCACCATTTCTATGTGGAGAGAGGAGAACCTTCCAGAAGAACAACCATCTCTGCAGCACTCCACCAGTCAGACCTGTATGGTAGAGTGACCACACAAAAGCCACTCCTCGGTAAAAAGCAAATGGCAGCCCATCTGGAGTTTGCCAAAAGGCACCTGAGGGACTCTCAGACCATGAGAAAAAAACTCTTTGGTCTGCTGAAACAAAGATTGAACTCTTTGGCCTGAATGCCAAGCATCATGTCTGGAGGAAACCGGGCACCGCTCACCACTTGGCTAATACCATCCCTAAAGTGAAGCATGGTGGTGGCAGCATCATGCTGTGGGGATGTTTTTCAGTGGCAGGAACTGGGAGACTAGTCAGGATCGAAGGAAAGATGAACGCAGCAATGTACAGAGACATCCTTGATGAAAACCTGTTCCAGAGAGCTCTGGACCTGAGACTGGGGTGACGGTTCATCTTTCAACAGAACAATGACACTAAGCACACAGCCCACATAACAAAGGAGTGGCTACGGGCCAACTCTGTGAATGTCCTGGAGTGGCCCAGCCAGAGCCCAGACTTCAATCTGATTGAAAATCTCTGGAGAGATCTGAATATGGCTGTGCACCGACGCTCCCCATCCAACCTAACGGAGCTTTAGAGGAACTGCAAAGAAGAATGGGAGAAATTGCCCAAAAATAGGTGTGCCAAGCTTGCAGCATCATACTCAAAACGACTTGAGCCTGTAATTGGTGCTAAAGGTGCTTCAACAAAGTATTGAGCAAAGGCTGGGAATACTTATGTACATGTGGGGTTTTTTTTCGTGTTTTATTTTTAAGAAATTGCAAAGATTTCAAAATGAACTTTTCACATTGTAATTATTCGGTATTGTTTATAGAATGTTGAGGAAAAAAATAAATTTATCCATTTTGGAATAAGGCTGTAACATAACAGAATGCGGCATAAGTTAAGCGCTGTGAATACTTTCTGGACGTACTGTATAGTTACAAGTTTAAAAATGTGGTGTTCCATGTGCCAAGAACATAAAATGTAAATTTACTCATCGTTAACATTTTGTATTAGCATTTATTTCGGTGGCAATAATAACACATCATAATTTATTGTAAAACACACTTCATGTTAATGTGTTTTTTCCGTAACTGCTGTCATTATTTTGCTTGTACCACAATGACACTAAGATTTTTGGTAATTCTACACATACAGTTAAAAACTAGTTAATCCAACACTGTAATGCAAGTGGAATCCTTACATTGGTGGAAAGAAACATTTTTTCCCAGGCCTGTCATGTCTTGTCTTTGTGGGAGGAGGTCCTTTACCAGATGCAGTCACATTGTTGTCTTGCTTTATTGCAGGTAGCTTCACCTACAAAATGACATTTATAGTGAGTAACAAGGGAGTTGAATGGCTAGGATTAAATTTTCAAATATATTCACGGTCTGACTGTCATTCAATATTCATGTCAAGCTCTTCCTGCCTAACAACGCCAGTAGAAGCAATCAAGATATGCTACTGGGGAGGGAGTCATTAAAGCAACCCTTTAAGCTTGAACACTTTCTTATGTCAGGGTAATTAAAACCTTTGTAACTAGACTTGCAAATTTTGACACATTTGCATGCAGTGCTTTGCTCAACAATAACTATTAAACCAAATGATTTTCACACCTTGTTTATTTGGTAATTTGTTTTAAAAATAATCTTATTGTTTTTAAATAAGCAGAAAAATGGACAAAAATTCATTTTAATTTATGTACATTTACATTTGTTTCATAACCTAGTTTGTATACTTACCATTATTTCAGACATTATTATTATTATTAGTAGTAAAGTTTTTTGTTATATTTATCCAGAGTACCAGGACCCAAAATAAGTGTACATTTTGATAAAATGGCTGTAATTCACTTACTGGCCAGGGAAGGTGTTAATGATAAAGATGAGACTAACTAATAAAAAAATCTAGGCTAAAAACTGTGTGGCAATAAACAAAAAAATCCACATTTTAACTTAGAAGGCACATTAAAAAAAGTTACTGCCTATCAATTTAGACTTAAATTAAAATGACAGCCCTGAAATGTTTCTGTCTCTGTGTGGTAATGCGTGATAAGTGTGTGTGTGTGTGTAAGGAACTCTTTAACTTCTATTAGACCCCTAATGTCTTCCCTGTCACTAGTAAAAACAGATGGGGGACAAAGATTCCCAGTCTACTTGTACACTTGGAATCTGTGCTGGTAATGTAATATCTCTGCAATGGCTTCTAGTGTAACATAGACTCTTTTATAGTTAGAGGCTTGCTGAAAGCCTGGGTATGAGTCAGCCTGGGAGTGAGTCAGCGAGGTTACTTCAGATTAAGGCCAGAGGGCTCTGCAGGTCAGTTCTCTGATACCTCCCCCTGCTCTAGAAATTTGAAGAAATTTCTAGAAGCCAGTGGGCAGGGGTAATGAGGGGCTGATCTGCATACTTAAGGGAATCTGGCCAATGTCCAGGCAGGAGGCCTGGCATGGTGGCTAGGTCAGCCTTTAAATAAGAGAGAGCATGGTCAGCAGGGAGTCGGGTGTAAGATGGAAGTGAAAGTGCTGCTGGTATGGAGCCTGGGAGGGGTCCCAGAGGAGGGGGGTCTGCCTACAGTCTGGAAGCTGAAAAGAAGGACCTCCACTGTCAGCAGGGAAAAACAGCCTGTCAGCAGGGAAGAAACCAGTCCAGCGTAAAGCCTGAAAGCAGCTTCAACCTTTAAAAACTACAGGAACAGGACAGTGTGAGCACTTCTACACTCCATGGGCCAAAGAAGGGGGAGAGCGGTCAGGAGCAATACCCAAACTAGTTCTCCCTGGGACTACATTACTTGTCTGTCTTGGAATTCCTTGCCCTGAGATACTCTCAAGACAGCCAGGTGGATGAGGAGATTTTCATCTGGGGTCTGAGGAGGTTCAGGAAAAGATAAGAGCTACTACTGAAGAGACGATAGCCTAGGATCTATTCTGTTCTTTCATGATTTTGCTGATTTTTGTCCTTTTTGTGCTTAAGAATTTGTCCTCCAAGTTGTTTCAGTTCTATTGGGCATTCCATATATCTCTAGACCCCATCCAAGTTGTTAACCCCTAATAAAACAACAAAAACCAAGCTCATGGACTGTTTACTGACTGTGGATGAAAGTGTGGAAATGTATGTTGTCTGGCTGTGCAGAGATTAGGGGGCTCAAAAACTCAGCGGACCTCAAGAGAGTAGTGCTACATCTCTGACCTTGGAGTGCTTACAGTTGAGCACTTCCAGGGTCAGTCCTAACAGAAGATCAATAACAAACACCATCCTTACTGTACCCAACATTTTACTTCAATACTTACACGGATCCTACTTCAGGTTAAGGTGTCCGTTTATGAACCAGCAGTAATAGATCGCTGCTCAGTTCTCCGCCATTCTCGGAGAACACAGTTCTCCTGTGAATGCAGTTTATGAAGCAGTTCTCCGAACGAAGGGAGAACGATCTCCAAACGCTGGAGAACGGTCTACAAACTCTGGAAAACGGCTGATTTTACTATAATCTCGCGAGATTACAGTAAGAGATCAGTTTACTAAGCAGAGGTAAATTATCTCTGCTTAGTTTGTGGTCCCTCCGATTCTCCAGCTCTGGGCTGGAGAATCTGGAGGGAGAACACAGATCTCCAGAGAAGGGCTGAACATGTTCTCCTGGGTGTTATAAACTGTGAATGACCAGAGAATAGCTGTGATCCTCTGAATCTCAGCTATTCTGTGTGTCATAAACGGACACCTACAAGAGAAAACAAACTCATGGCCACTATTGCAGCCACGGGGTTTACTTTGCCCTTTCATTATCACTAGACAACAAATGGGTAGATTATATTGTATATTCTCTTTTTATTGAAATACAATTTTCAAACACAATAAGAGACAATAAGGTACAGAATAGTAGGTAGAGACAGACATGCTATGTCCATATATCCTGATGCCTTGTCCCCAGCTGCCCGCTGTCATGGGCAGCAGGTGAAGGCATTCTCCATGTAAGGGCTCAGCCATGCAGGAGGTATGTCTCTGCACATAACCAGTAAGCTCCCAAGTGGCAAGCAGGGTCATAACAAAAACAAAAACATGAGTGAACGTGTTTGATGCCAATTACTAAAACACAAAGTATGATTCAGGGCACAGACATAAGAAAGAACAGAAATAATGGCATTAGCCATATGAATAAACATTAGAGCAACAATGATCACAACTTACAAAATCATTCCAAGCATGAGTAGAGCATGAAATTGAACAAAGGGAAGGTTGACAGACCATGAGGCCATGCATAATCAAGCGGTAGATGATGGAAAACATGCTAGGCACATATTGACAAATATCTGCGATGGGATATCATCATCTAATCTCACCAATGAGATTCCCTAGTGGTTACAGCAGTCAGGTATCAGTACAGTCTAGGCTCTCCGGTACCATAGAGTAGTACATCCAGCCAGACCAAATGGCATGACATTTTTCAAGGTTATTTTTAACAGTGTACACCCAACGTTCTGCCTCCCATATCTTCTCTACTTCCCCCTCCAATATTGTACAGTGGATTGTTTCACAAAATTTCACAAAAACACTAGGATTGTTTCCAAAATTTCAGTATCAGGCTCTTGGCCGTGTTCAAGAGTCGTGGGGTAACACTATATCAATAGGACTTAAAAGAGGAGGGGGGTAGCATGAAATAGGTTATGCAGAGGGGTGAATTTAATGGATTTAAGAGTAGTTCTTTGAATCCAAGGTGTAATTTCCCTCCAAAATTTTTGTATTTTGGGGTAGTGTCACCAAATATGCATATAGGTACCCTCCTGAGGGAAGCCCCTCCAACAATTGCGGTCAGTTCTCAGGAAAGACGTATCCAGCTGTGAGGGTGTCTTATACCAGCGGGATAAAATGTTATAACATGATTCTTGGGTCTTAAAGCTAATGGAAGATACATCTGATAATTTAACTATTTTTTGTAATTGGTGTGGTGTAAATTCCAGTCCCAGTTCTGATTCCCATTGCCTTATAAAGCAGGGAGTGGATAGATAGCAGGCATTTATACATTTGGGAAATCAGGTGTTTGGATTCTCCAGGGTTCTTACACATAGATTCATATTGTAATTACATTTTTAATTAGCTTTGTACAGATCAGGTAAGGTTTAGAATGTCTGAGGGTTTTTATATTGTGATGAACACATTGAAGAGCCCTTAATCAATAGGACAGAAAGTAAAATCTAAGACTACACAGATGTCACACAGTCAATAGGAGTTGAGTAGAAATCTGCAAAGGAAATACATATTTTGTTGACAGCAGTCAAACGTGATATTTTCTGTCATCCTTTGTCTCAGGGGCGAGAAGTTAGGGACAGCTCAGGCAGCAATCACACAATGATAGAGGTTCTATGGTATCAACACCTAGAAAAAATGGCTACTAGTAGATTGGATGATATAAGAACTTAATCAGAAAAAAGACAAATTTAATGAGAGGTAGATAACAATATGGTTAATAACATAAAAATAGGAGAAGGATCCTATTAAAAGAGTTTTTTGGGCATGCTTCTCATGTAGGTCACAGGAGTGCACCTACTTTTGCTCCTCTGCGACATAGAGTCAGCTAATAGTTGGCTATTGCCAGCTATCAGCTGATGTAGCAGAGCTGCTCCAGGATCTGCAAGGATTCGGATGATATTGTCGGGATGATCCTGATTACTCGACCGGCAGCTGGCCTCTCAACATGCCAGTGAGAGCTGTCTCCAGCTCTCACTGGCATGTCTCCAGCTCTCAACATGCCAGTGAGAGCTGGAGACAGCTCTCAAGCTCTCACGCTCCAGCTCTCACTGCCAGTGAGAGCTGGAGCGTGAGAGCTTGAGAGCTGTCTCCAGCTCTCACTGGCATGTTGAGAGCTGGAGACATGCCAGTGAGAGCTGGAGACAGTTGCTTTCTCTCTCCCACTCCAGCCCCATGCTCCACTGAGAGCTGGAAGGGCAGAGAGGAGAGCAGTGAATGACAGTTACTGCTCTCCGCTCTAAGCATGCTGAGAACTAAGTGATTAGTGGTCATGTGATTGCTTAGTTCTTAGTGTTAGAGACATTGTTAGAATGGAACAGATGCTGCACCATGGAGGTGAATATGTGTGTTTGTTTTCTCAAATCACACACTTCTCCCTTAAATAAGACAAGAGGGAAAAAAGATTGTACAGAGGAGCAGGTAAGAACAAAAAAAAAAACCTGAATATATATATATGACAACCTGGGCTTGAAATAAGAATGTACAGTATTCAAAGGTTTTTTTTTTATTTTAAAAGAAAGAAGAAGATACTGGTGGAAGAGTAATATATAGAGAATCTTTAATATAATGAAAAATGCT